GGTTATATCGGCTGTCAGCCCGGTAGGCTGACACACTTAGGCCATATTTGGCCCGTTGTGTTACCGAAAAAGGGGATCTAGGGATTTCCTCCTGCAGTCGTGCCTTCAGCATTCTAACATATATTTAAACATTTGCCCAACCCGATGCGTTTATGAATTTCGCTATCTTGGCCAGTCTCATATATCGGAGCTCCGATAAACCATTTAGGGAGTAGTTTCCAGAGGCAGAAAAAGTGTTCCGGAGATTCAACTTCTTCCTCCTCTTTGCAGCTTCTGCAAAAGTCATTGTGTGGCACCTGGAGTCTATTGGCATGAATGCCAACCAGCCAGTGCCCAGTTAGAGCCCGGATCACTGCGGAACAGTTAGTCCGACTCAGACTGCACAGCTCTTTGCTGCGCTTGGAGTCAATGCTTGGCCATGTCTGGTGTGCTATGCGGGCACAGGTGGCATTTTGCCATTTTTTGCATGACCTGCGCCTATGCTCCTCCCTGATATTGAGCTTACAGGTAGCTAGAGGCATACTAATACCTTCCTTGTCCGTGAGGAGCGGCAGTATGGTACCTTTCCTAGCTAACTCATCGGCTTTGCAGTTGCCTTCAATGTCCTGGTGACCAGGAACCCATATCAGGCTAATAACATGCTGTTTAGCCATCTCGTGTAGAGATTTGCGGCAGCTTGTTACTGATATCGAATTGGAAGATATCGAACTGATTGATTTAATTGCTGCCTGGCTGTCAATATATATATTTATGTAGCCAGGGCTGACTTTGAGCCTATCTAGGCAGTCTAAAGCTTCCTTTATGGCCAGTACCTCAGCTTGAAAAACACTACAGTGTGTTGGAAGGCTGAAGGATAACTGTAAATTGAGTTGCTCGGAGTAGACCCCTCCGCCTACACGGTTGTCTAGCTTCGAGCCATCTGTAAAGAAGGTTATGGTTGCCGGTGGACCGGGGGTGCCATGAACCCATTCTTCCCTTTGAGGGAAGTATGTGTTGAAGGGTGTTCCCAATTGTGTTACTGGCACGCAGTAATCTGTTTTAGAAGGGATGGTCGGTTTCCCTTCTAAGATAGAGGCATGACCAGTGCTCTGAGTAGTCCAGGCGAGGGATTCTCTGAGTCTTATGGCCGTAAGTGTTGCATTTTCCATTCCTTGTCTTTCCAGACACGGAATGTCCAGGATAGCGTCAAGTGCCTCACTAGGTGTGGTACGAAGCGCCCCCGATATGCATAGTTCAGCCATACGCTGAACCTTGTTTAGTTTAGAAAGGGTGGTTTTCTTTTTTAAACAGGGCCACCATACTGCGACGCCATACAAAAGTATAGGTCTGACTATGGATGTGTATAACCATCGAACGATATTTGGGGACATACCCCATTTCAGCCCAATGGATTTCCTACACGTATATAGGGCGACTGTTGCCTTTTTAACCCGTGTTTGGGTATTGAGGTTCCAATCTAGTTTTCTGTCTAGTGTCAATCCAAGGAAATTGGCACTGTCTTTGAAAAGTAGATTTACATTATTTAGTCTGGGTGGGACAAGAGAAGGGACCTTGTAGTTCCTTGTAAAAAGAACAAGTTCCGTTTTATTGGGGTTTACCCCTAATCCACTCTCTTGAGCCCAGCATGACAGTATTTTTAGTTTACTAGTCATGAGGTCACAAAGAGTTTGTGGGTATTTTCCCCTGAAAATTACTGCAACGTCATCAGCATATGCAACCATTTTGCAGCCGCCCCCCTCCATGTCCCACAGCACTTTGTTAATTACTATGTTCCATAGTAGGGGTGACAGGACGCCTCCTTGTGGCGTACCTCTGCTCACGAACCTGGAGAGAGTTGACGACCCTAGTGTGGATGTCACAGTCCTGCAAGTAAGCAATTGACTGATCAGGCCCACCAGACCGGTGTCAAACCCCAGGTTCAGCAGAGCTGCAGTTATGGCTGCCGGAGTGACGTTGTTAAAGGCGCCCTCAATGTCGAGAAACGCTATAAGGGTGTACTCTTTATAAAGTAGGGATTTCTCTATAATGGAGATCACAGAGTGGAGGGCAGTATCTGTGGATCTGCCCTTCCTGTAGGCATGTTGAGACTCCGACATAAGCCTGGGGTCAATGGATGCTGTGAGATGGAGACTTATAAGTAGTTCCAAGGTCTTTAGCAAGAAAGATGATAGACTGATGGGTCTGAAATCTTTGGCGCTGGTGTGCGATGGCTTCCCAGCTTTGGGTATGAAGGCTATTTTTGACTGGAGCCATGTGGGTGGGATGCAACCAGTCTTCAGAATCTTCCCGAAGATTTCATGTAGCCAGTTTATGGCTGTGTTTCCCGCCTTCTGTAATTGGACTGGGCTTATCTGATCAGGGCCTGGGGATTTGAATGGCTTAAAACTGTTCACTGGAGACCGACCAGGAATTGTCATCCTTTTTCAGATAACCAAGTGCGGGTGTGGTTTTTGATAAAACTTTCCTAAGCCTCTCTCCAAGATTTCCTTTTTTCTCGTCTGGTGGTTTTTATATTCAGCCAGACTTAATTTGTACTTTGACCATTGCTGGTCGTTATTTTGCGCTTTCGCTGCATTAAAGAGAGACCTGCAACTTTGTCTAAGGACATTTAGTTGAGGTGTCCACCATGGTGGTTTCTTCTTGTGCACAGGCTTACTGATAGGACAAGCTGCCTTAAAAGCCTTATTGCATGCAGAAGTAAAAGTCTCTGTCAGATTGCAGAGATGAGCTAAGTTGTCCGGGCCTTTCGGTGGGTGTTCCGAAAGGGTTCGGTCAAGTTTGGCTTTGAAAATTTCCCAGTTCGCCTTCTTTTGATTTATGAAGTGAACTGGTTCTGGATGGCTCGCGAGGAGCTCAAATTCAATGTATCTGTGATCAGAGAAGGAGTGATCGTCAGACACTCTCCAACCTATTAGCTGATCGCTCATAGATTGTGAGATAAGGGTCAGATCAATGACCTCTCTTCTATTTTTAATAATAAAAGTGGGTTCATTTCCCGTATTACATACTAAGAGGTTAGTATTAAGAATGTAGGATAAGAGTGACTCACCCCTCGGATTTGTGCCCGTACTCCCCCACTGGGTGTGGTGAGCATTGGCGTCACAGCCTATGATTAGGCCAATGCTGTGCTTCTCGCACTCCTGGACGAGGGATCTTGTAGTCTCGTCTGGTGGTGGGCCGGCGCTGTCGTAGGCCATGTAGACAGACAGTAGCCTTACCGAAGCTGACTGGAGCTCCAGGCTTACCGCTGTGTTGTCATCATTACTAAAATTATGGAGCAGAAAAATATTTAGATGTTTTTTCGCGAGGATGCAGGTACGTTTTTTACCTTCGTTTCCAGCTACTAATAGCTTATAATTTTTATTTCCTAGTCCGCAAACCTTGCCTCCAATCACCCAAGGTTCTTGGACTAGTACTATATCGTCTCCGCCTCCAGCCAGGCGGAGCATCAGAGCAGCGGATGCTGCTTTACTGTGGTGAAGGTTTATCTGCCGTAGTCTCAAGGACATCCGGAGATTTCCCCCTCACCACAGTGTTGTTGCTGTCGCCCTCGTCCGACAGCGTAAAATCGTCCTCGTCTAACTCGTGACACATGGCCTCAAGGCCCCGAGTCAGAGTCGACGTGTCCGACGTGTAGCCAGGCTCCAGCTCCTCATCGGTTGCTCCGATCTCCGCAGGAGGAGCCTGTTCGGCTGTGTTTTTGCAGACAGCAGGGTCTCCTCCGGCCGGCGCATCCGATTTGTATACCTTTACGGTAATGGAGCCGAAGCCGAAGTTTAGCTCGCCCTTCAATTGGGGCCAGCGATTCCTTGTTAAGAATCAGCACATTTGTTGGCCCCTCGGTGGCCTCAATCTTCACCACCCTCCAGTCTTGGGTGGGGAGAGAGGGGTTGCAGAGTTGCAGAAGGTTAAGCACTTGGTCCGGCTCCTTTAGGGAAGCCGGGATCCAGATGCGTGCACGAGGTCTGCTCGGGACTTCGCTCCAGTCGACAGCGACCAGCTTCGCCCCGGGGTAGACCTCACCAAGTTCTGCTACAGCAGCTTTGTAAAGCTCTACTGAGCGAGCGTCTTGGCAGGCGATAACCTTTGTATTACCCTGGTACCACCCAGCATCCCTGCATACAGGTGGTGGCCCAGGCGCCTTGCTTAACAGCTTCAGGCATTGGACAGCGAGGGCTCCTTCCACCCATTTCCACTGATTTCTAGGGATTCTGCCGTCCTTGCTTCCCTTGTCAAGGGAAGGATTCTTTCCTTGGCAATGTCAGCAAAGGACCTTCCCTGTTGCACCTTGGCCCGTTTTGCGACGGGACCGTGTGCTTCCTGTGAGCGCTGCCTTTTAGCCTGGCTCTGCTCTTTTTGGGGTGGAGCCTCACAGAAGTTTGGCAGCACCTTCTTAGCCCAAATCACTTTATTTTGCCATTCGGCTGGTGGATTTGGCTGAGTGTTCGCACTTTGCCACTTCAGAATGCTTGCAGCATTTCTGCGGTCGGCATAGCTGAACCTTTTAGCCGCCGCGCTGGTAGTTGGCAAATCGCCCTTCGCACCCGCTCCGGCTGGCAGGTTGGCTGCACTAGTGCTTTTCTTCCCTACCACGGAGTCGGACGGGTCGGGGTTTTTACCAGCTGCACCCTCGCCGCTGGCTTGACAAACAGGCTTTTCCGCCACTTTTGTCATGCTGCCGCTTTGGCCAAGCTTACGAGCCACTGCCTCCTCTACATGTTTGGGATTGCTCCCTACCGGTTTTGGGAGAGTACCGGACTCCTTTTGTGGTTTTTTGGAATACATTTGGATTCCCACGAGCTGCGGAGAAAAGATGTCCACCTGCACAGAGATCCGCGATGTGCAGGTAAGGCTGATTAATATCGGAGGTCGCCAGGTATCCGATATGCTCCGTGTAAGACTGGGTTATTTTAGGGCCCCCAGCCTGGCTGACTATCGGCACGGGTCGCATGACACCTTAGTCCGGCCCTTTACCTCGAACCATGACTCGGTCCTTTCCCAGCGACAAGACTATGGATGCAGTTTATGTCGGAGGTTCAGGGCACGAGTCTTAGCTAGCATCGGTACCTAGCAGGACCACTGTGATGCTATTTCCAGTCGGCACCCTCGTGGAGGGTTCAGTTGAGGAATTTTTGCCGACCAAAGAAATTCTAACTTCTGACAATTATTGGCGAAGATACATCCGTTTGAATTTGGAAACAGAAACTTAAAACGTCAATTTCGCGAAATGACTTCGAGACTACATATTTTCAGCTTTTGATGCAGAATCAAAATATATAAAAAGGGCTTCATAATGGTGAAAGAAATTCTAACTTCTGACAATTATTGGCGAAGATACATCCATTTGAATTTGGAAAAGAAACTTAATACGTCAATTTCTCGAAATGACTTCGAGACTACATATTTTCAGCTTTTGATGCAGATTCAAAATATATGAAAAGGGCTTCATAATGTTGAAAGAAATTCTAACTTCTGACAATTATTGGCGAAGATACATCCGATTGAATTTGGAAACAGAAACTTAAAACGTCAATTTCTCGAAATGACTTCGAGACTACATATTTTCAGCTTTTGATGCAGAATCAAAATATATAAAAAGGGCTTCATAATGTTGAAAGAAATTCTAACTTCTGACAATTATTGACGAAGATACATCCGTTTGAATTTGGAAACAGAGACTTAAAACGTCAATATCTCGAAATGACTTCGAGACTACATATTTTCAGCTTTTGATGCAGAATCAAAATATATAAAAAGGGCTTCATAATGTTGAAAGAAATTCTAACTTCTGACAATTATTGGCGAAGATACATCCGTTTGAATTTGGAAACAGAGACTTAAAACGTTAATTTCTCGAAATGACTTCGAGACTACATATTTTCAGCTTTTGATGCAGAGTCAAAATATATAAAAAGGGCTTCATAATGTTGAAAGAAATTCTAACTTCTGACAATTATTGGCGAAGATACATCCGTTTGAATTTGGAAACAGAAACTTAAACCGCCAATTTCTCGAAATGACTTCGAGACTACATATTTTCAGCTTTTGATGCAGAATCAAAATATATAAAAAGGGCTTCATAATGTTGAAAGAAATTCTAACTTCTGACAATTATTGGCGAAGATACATCCGTTTGAATTTGGAAACAGAAACTTAAAACGTCAATTTCTCGAAATGACTTCGAGACTACATATTTTCAGCTTTTGATGCAGAGTCAAAATATATAAAAAGGGCTTCATAATGTTGAAAGAAATTCTAACTTCTGACAATTATTGGCGAAGATACATCCGTTTGGATTTGGAAACAGAAACTTAAAACGTCAATTTCTCGAAATGACTTCGAGACTACATATTTTCAGCTTTTGATGCATAGTCAAAATATATAAAAAGAGCTTCATAATGTTGAAAGAAATTCTAACTTCTGACAATTATTGGCGAAGATACATCCGTTTGAATTTGGAAACAGAAACTTAAAACGTCAATTTCTCGAAATGACTTCGAGACTACATATTTTCAGCTTTTGATGCAGAGTCAAAATATATAAAAAGGGCTTCATAATGTTGAAAGAAATTCTAACTTCTGACAATTATTGGCGAAGATACATCCGTTTGAATTTGGAAACAGAAACTTAAAACGTCAATTTCTCGAAATGACTTCGAGACTACATATTTTCAGCTTTTGATGCAGAATCAAAATATATAAAAAGAGCTTCATAATATTAAAAGAAATTCTAACTTCTGACAATTATTGGCGAATATACATCCGTTTGAATTTGGAAACCGAAACTTAAAACGTCAATTTCTCGAAATGACTTCAAGACTACATATTTTCAGCTTTTGATGCAGAGTCAAAATATATAAAAAGGGCTTCATAATGTTGAAAGAAATTCTAACTTCTGACAATTATTGGCGAAGATACATCCGTTTGAATTTGGAAACAGAAACTTAAAACGTCAATTTCTCGAAATGACTTCGAGACTACATATTTTCAGCTTTTGATGCAGAATCAAAATATATAAAAAGGGCTTCATAATGTTGAAAGAAATTCTAACTTCTGACAATTATTGGCGAAGATACATCCGTTTGAATTTGGAAACAGAAACTTAAAACGTCAATTTCTCGAAATGACTTCGAGACTACATATTTTCAGCTTTTGATGCAGAGTCAAAATATATAAAAAGGGGTTCGTAATGTTGAAAGAAATTCTAACTTCTGACAATTATTGGCGAATATACATCCGTTTGAATTTGGAAACAGAAACTTAAAACGTCAATTTCTCGAAATGACTTCGAGACTACATATTTTCAGCTTTTGATGCAGAATCAAAATATATAAAAAGGGGTTCATAATGTTGAAAGAAATTCTAACTTCTGACAATTATTGGCGAAGATACATCCGTTTGAATTTGGAAACAGAAACTTAAAACGTCAATTTCTCGAAATGACTTCGAGACTACATATTTTCAGCTTTTGATGCAGAGTCAAAATATATAAAAAGGGCTTCATAATGTTGAAAGAAATTCTAACTTCTGACAATTATTGGCGAAGATACATCCGTTTGAATTTGGAAACAGAAACTTAAAACGTCAATTTCTCGAAATGACTTCGAGACTACATATTTTCAGCTTTTGATGCAGAATCAAAATATATAAAAAGGGCTTCATAATGTTGAAAGAAATTCTAACTTCTGACAATTATTGGCGAAGATACATCCGTTTGAATTTGGAAACAGAAACTTAAAACGTCAATTTCTCGAAATGACTTCGAGACTACATATTTTCAGCTTTTGATGCAGAATCAAAATATATAAAAAGGGCTTCATAATGTTGAAAGAAATTCTAACTTCTGACAATTATTGGCGAAGATACATCCGTTTGGATTTGGAAACAGAAACTTAAAACGTCAATTTCTCGAAATGACTTCGAGACTACATATTTTCAGCTTTTGATGCAGAATCAAAATATATAAAAAGGGCTTCATAATATTAAAAGAAATTCTAACTTCTGACAATTATTGGCGAAGATACATCCGTTTGAATTTGGAAACCGAAACTTAAAACGTCAATTTCTCGAAATGACTTCGCGACTACATATTTTCAGCTTTTGATGCAGAGTCAAAATATATAAAAAGGGCTTCATAATGTTGAAAGAAATTCTAACTTCTGACAATTATTGGCGAAGATACATCCGTTTGAATTTGGAAACAGAAACTTAAAACGTCAATTTCTCGAAATGACTTCGCGACTACATATTTTCAGCTTTTGATGCAGAGTCAAAATATATAAAAAGGGCTTCATAATGTTAAAAGAAATTCTGACTTCTAACAATTATTTGCGAAGATACATCCGTTTGAATTTGGGAAAATAAACTTAAAACGCCAATATCTCGAAATGACTTCGAGACTACATATTTTCAGCTTTTGATGCAGAATCAAAATATATAAAAAGGGGTTTATAATGTTGCACGAAATTCTAACTTCTCAGAATTATTGGCGAAGATACATCCGTTTGAATTTGGAAACAGAAACTTAAAACGTCAATTTCTCGAAATGACTTCGAGACTACATATTTTCAGCTTTTGAAGCAGAGTCAAAATATATAAAAAGGGCTTCATAATGTTGAAAGAAATTCTAACTTCTGACAATTATTGGCGAAGATACATCCGTTTGAATTTGGAAACAGAAACTTAATACGTCAATTTCTCGAAATGACTTCGAGACTACATATTTTCAGCTTTTGATGCAGAATCAAAATATATAAAAAGGGCTTCATAATGTTGAAAGAAATTCTAACTTCTGACAATTATTGGCGAAGATACATCCGTTTGAATTTGGAAACAGAGACTTAAAACGTCAATTTCTCGAAATGACTTCGAGACTACATATTTTCAGCTTTTGATGCAGAATCAAAATATATAAAAAGGGCTTCATAATGTTGAAAGAAATTCTAACTGCTGACAATTATTGGCGAAGATACATCCGGTTGAATTTGGAAACCGAAACTTAAAACGTCAATTTCTCGAAATGACTTCGAGACTACATATTTTCAGCTTTTGATGCAGAGTCAAAATATATAAAAAGGGCTTCATAATGTTGAAAGAAATTCTGACTTCTGACAATTATTGGC